AATGCCATTGATCAGATGGAGAAAAAAATAACTGAAAGAGACACAACTAATTATTTACAAGATACAAAGAATAGCAGAGAAAATAAGACTGAAGAATTAAAGGAGGGTGTTGCCAATTTCAAACTTGATTCTCATCAGCATGTGAAAAGAGGACCTGCTAGTAACATTTCAGAGAGCCAAAGTTCTCTAAAAGCAACACAAGAGAATAAGTCCCCAACATCAACTAAAAGAGTTAAGACAGTAAAGAGAAAACAGGATGAAATCAAAAGTACAGCAGCTGAGCAAGAAGAGAAAGGCTTAAATGTGCACCTGAAACATAGCAAGGGATTTAATGCAATAATAGAACAAAGTCAAGGCAGAGATAAATCTGTAGGAAATGGACAGATAGAGAGCAAAAATGTCACAGGTGTAAAAGTAGCAAAGGAAGAAACAAAGAGCAAAGATAAAGGTGAAAGGAAAAAACAAGGCAAAGCTGATACTCCTGCAAAAATGGAACAAAAACAAAACAAAGCAATAGATGAAGATAATTTAGAAGAGTGTCCAAAGTGTGAAAAATGGGATATAGAATCAACTGGCACTGAGAAAGGTAAATTATTGCGACTGAAATTCAAACGTTATTTAAGTAACAATCAAGATGAAAATTTAATAGAGAAGGTTATCAGGGCAAATATGAAGGGGGCAAATGACAACCAGGAAACAGAGGGCAAGGAAATCATGATTTTAGCTGAAGATGGTACTATTACATGTAATTTTTGTCCGTTTTTTACATTGTGCAAAGTCTTTTTTTGGCGCCATTGGGGTAGTAACCATGGAAAACAGGTAAAGTCATATTTTTGCAGTCTCTGTGGCTTATCTTATAAAGTTTTGTGTTCTCTAAAACGTCATATCTGTTTAAAGCACAAAGTCGAAGATGGTAACAATGAAACAAAATCTATCAGCAAGAATTACCAATGTAATATGTGTTTCAAATTTGTTTCGACTCGAAGAAATCTTGATGAACACAAGCTGAAAGTTCACAATTACGTGCCAATCAAATACAAGTGTAGTAATTGTGAGTTTGAGACTGAGAGATGCAGTACTTTGCATAGACATCAAAGAGCCATTCATAACACAGAGTATTACTGCTGTGAGAAGTGTGTTAAACCTTTTTACAATTTAGCCGATTATAAAGCGCATGTTTGTAAAACACAACCGAGGAGAATTAAATGTCATCTGTGTGAAAAGACGTTCAGCAGTGTAAAATGCACACAGGCTCATGTCAAGGTCCACAATAATCAATGGCTGTATACTTGCGATAAATGCGGAAAGAAGTTTGCAAAAGTCTGCCAGCTGAAGCGCCATCATAACATAAAGCATGAAAAGGAAGTGATTCGTTATAACTGCGGAGACTGCTTCTCATCTTTCCTTTACAAAACAAGCCTCCAGAAACACATGAGAATTGCTCATCTTGCAATTACAAATAGTGAAAGAAAAAGGTATTTGAAGAACACGGGTGCATATCGGTCTTTGACTAAAGTAAAAAATATCAAGTGTCCAAAGTGCTCGTGTGCATTTTATGTCAAAGGTGCTTTGAAAAATCACATGATGAGGAAACATTTGTACCAGCCCGATGAAGATAATCTGTCTGTTGGTTAAAATACATGTTTATGAAAATGCAAGATACACTTGATTGATGACAATTTTACTAATTGCAGCTACATATAAATCTTTTAATTTACGACAGACTATACTATATGAAAAAAGCAAAAATATAGAAAAAACATAAATTTGTGTTCTTTTGAAGACAGTGAGTGTTTATCTGTTGGTGAAAAGAATTTAGAAAAAGTGTTTATCCTATTATGTGTATTTGTGAAAAGAATTTAAAAAGACATTGTAGCCTATTATGTTGGTTGGTGAAAAGAATTTAAAACGTTTTTAGCCTTCTTCTCTAGGTCAAAAAAAATTTAGATTTTTTTAGCCTATTTTATTTGTTGGTTAAAAGAATTAAGAAGATTTTCTAACCTATTATGTTTGTTGGCTAAAAAGAATATGGAAGATTTTTAGCCTATAATGTATGTTGGTTATAAAAAGAATTTAGAAGATTTTAAAGCTTATTCTGTCCGTTGGATGAAAGAATTCAGGAGAGTGTTGAGCCTTTATGTCTGCTGGTGAAATGAATTTAGAAGATTTTTTGAGCCTATTCTAAAAGAAGAATCCAGGAGTGTTGAGTCTATTATGTTTGTTACATAATTGTTATTATTAAATATAACTAAATGTAACTATTAAATATAGGACTACTGAGACTACAAAGTGACCTCTTATTTATTTTTATTTTGTTGGTTTTATTAAATGCGGGGTCCTCAGTATTTGAGTGCCTTGAAATTGAGTGAAAACTCTACATCTTAATTTCCTACAACATTGACATTTACAGATATTCTCCACATTGATTATTGATGATAATTATTTATGGTTTATGCTATGTAATAAATATATATTTAATGAGACATTTTAATATATTGGTATATGCTTGAATTTTGACATTTTTTGGGGAGGCAATAGTAAGACTGCGGATACCAATTGGGCATTCATAAGAAATGGGTTGGGTGATAGGCATTTATAAGATTAAGGATGGGTAAGGGGAAACATATACTGAAAGAAATAAGTTTAGCAAGTTCTGTAGGGGTACATATAGATTTAGGGACAATGTATGTATACATGTTTTATGCTGTTATAATGTCTAGCTTGACCTATACCATAGATTCCCTGTACAGTTTTAAGCATCTGTGGTTATGAAACGTCAAAACGTGTAGTAACTGGTAAACCACGGAGAGCACGTGCAGCACGAAATCTGGCATGTATAAAATCCAAACGTAATATAGACTTGTCAATCTTATACCATAAACAAATTAACCACATTTAATTTTGAAAATTATTCAATGGGACGTGCTCCAGGAATGACGTTACCTCGACGTCATATGGCTATTGGCATGCTAAATGCTGGTATGACCGCGCGGGAAGTTGCACGACAATTTCACGTAAGTGAATCGACTATTAGTCGTCTCAAAACTAGATATCAGCTAACAGGGGATGTAAAAGATATGCCAAGTTCGGGTAGACCACGAAAAACAACATTTGCAGAAGACCGTTATATTGTTGTGACGTCACGGCGAAATCGATTTATGTCTAGTCGTAGGTTGGCTAATCACCTCAGAAATTCTACCGGTTCTAGAATTTGTGACAGGACAGTGCGAAATAGACTTCACGCTGCCAGACTCCATGGATGTCGACCTCACGTGGGGATACCGTTAACAAGACGTCATCGACAGGATCGCGTCGCTTGGGCTAGAATTCACCAAAGATGGAACCGTGCACAGTGGAATGATGTTCTTTTTACCGACGAGTCAAGATTTAATCTTTCCTTTGCTGACGGAAGGTTACGTGTATGGAGGCGAAAGGGCGAGCGATTTGATCCGGAAAACGTTATTGAACGCGATCGTTACGGCGGGGGCAGTGTGATGATATGGGCGGGAATTTGTCATCGTGGTAAAACTGAATTACAAAATGCACGAATTTTGCAACAGGATAAAGTTTACGGCCTTCTCTCTAGGCGCACAACAAATGTTTTTTCAGGGTTAAACAAATTGCAAGTTCTTCCCATAGGGGCTACAAAAATTGCAAAGATTTTTCGCCAATTTGGAAAAAATGTTAGAGAAAAGCATTCTGTCCCGTTTAAAGAATTGGGATTTTAATTGATGTCTCACGTGTCGTTGGATCTTGAGCCTTTGCAGAGGAATCCAGAATTTTCTATATGTGTTTCAAACTTTATTACAGTGATACGATTGTTGTAACTGTGTACTATGTTAAGGAAACCCATACTACAAATTGACATTTTTTTTTGTGGTTTTATTATTTCGATTTACCTTGTTGGGAAAACTTACAAATTGGAATTGAAAAGATTCTCAAGATGATATTGTCATATTGATTTTGGTTTTGTTGAATATAATATTAAACATAATAAAATGTAATTTATTTTTAATTACGAACCTTTGCTAAAAGTTTTTTGGCTTTCAGTTAAATGGTAAGATTGTTCATTGGGGGGAGCAATCATAAAATCAGGGATGCGTTGGGACAAACAAGATTGTTGATTGGTGGGATTTTGATTCAAGGTTTTTGATTTTTGGGCATGTATGTTTACTAGGTACATTTTCTTGTTGTTGTTGTTTTTTTGCTATGAGCATTAGTGTAATAGTTATTTGATGAGCTTGACTGACCAGGAACATCACTGAAAAAATATAAACTGCGTTGATAGATGGTCTCAAAATATAGTTCATATAATGTTTTATTACTGTAGATGTTGTTTAATATTATGTTCATTATTAATGTCAATTTGAATTTGTTGGTTTTACACAAGTCTTTCTGAGATATTAACAACAGTCTTTGCACCAGTTTTCATTTGTATCTTTTCTTGAAATAACCTCATCTACTAAACTAACTAACTGACAAATTTTAGAAATTGCGTGAAATTACTGTTGATGATTTTTAGATATTTGATTATTACTAATGTCAATTTGAATTTATTGGTTAGTTTTTATGAGGTAAACAGCAGTCTTTTCACCAGTTTTCATTTGTATCTGTTCTTGAAACTAACTTTATCTAAACTATGGTAAATTTTATTAATGAGTGAAATAACCTCACGTTAGCCATGTCCGATTTTGAAAATTTACTAAAATGACCATACATTAACTTTGGTCAATGTTTGTAACTTATGTAATTTTGTCAGTTTTAGTTTTTAAGTGAGAAAAAATATACCTCAAGCATGTTCATTGCAATTCACTTAAGGAAATAACCATATGTTAACCAAGGTCAATTTTAGTTATGGAAAATACATTGTCAATTTCAATTATTGAGGGAAATAACTATATTTTTATCATGCACAATTTTAGAAAATTGAAGGAAACGACCATATGTTTACCATGACCTTTTTCAGGAATTGAGGGAATAAACCATATTTTATTATTGGACAGTTTTAGTAATTAAGGGATATAACTGCCCATAGTCAGTTTTAATGATTGAAGGAAAAAACCTTATGATAGCCATGGGCAATTTTATGATTGAAAAAAAAACCTTATGATAGTCATAGACAATTTAATAATTGAGGGAAACAACCTTATGATGGCCAAGGACCATTTGATATCTGAGGGAATCTACCTTATGATAGTCATGAACTATTTAATAATTGAGGGAAACAACCTTATGATAGCTATGGACTATTTAATTACTGAGGGAAACAACATTTTCATAGCCATGGACTTTTTGATAAGTAAGTGAAATAACCTTATGGACTATTTGATAATTGAGGGTAATAACCTTGTGATAGCCATGGACAACTAAATAATTGAGTGAAATAACTTTATGATAAGCATGGACAATTTAAGAGTTAGTCATGGATTATACAGGAAATATTTTTATTTAGTTGATTAATCAGCATGTTTATTTGGATGTCATTATTTTTGTTTTTGATGTTGGGAGTTTATTATTATTTTCTATATTTTATAAATAAACCTTTAAGGTTGTTTTAGTACCTTTTATTGTAGAATAAATGTCAAAAGTGTGTAATTTTTGTTAGTTTAATGTTTATACAACTCTGTTATGTTAAAGTTTATTCTCGTGGGCTTGATTTACAAAGGTTGATGTTAAGATTTATATAAAAATATTGACGCTTATTTTATTGAATTAGATTGTAATAGATAAATGTACACACATAGATTTTTTTGTTGTTGTAAATTCAGATTTCCATTGTCATAATCTTTCAAAAATAATCATGACAAAATATTTTTAAAGAAATTCATATTGTTCCTGTTATATCATATCAAAGCAAATGATGTTAATTTTTATAAACAACATGGAGATGGCCAGGGCTGATCTACTTAAATGTGTAATAACCTGGTCTTTTAATAACAAAACACAAAACTTGTTATTAAAGTTCTGACTTTCTCAAATTCAGACATCTGTTGTTGTCTGTTTTACCAATAATTTTGGTAAGATCCAATATAATATTGTAATATTGTTATTTTATGCTGTTTAAGTTGATAAATGCTAAATTCACCTGAATATTTCCAGTCAGTATTCTTTGTCCATGTTTAAAGCAGCATGTCTCAAGATTCATGCTATGTATCATGAAAATTTTAAAAATGTATTTTAATGGAAAAAAATTGTGGAGAGAACAAAGTAAGTAATTTACACACTGCATGGCATTTACAATCTATGTAAGTCAAAAGATGAAAAAGTGGCCTTTACTGTGTTTGACATGCACTAGAAATATGGTTATAAATATTGCAAAATCAGTCCTGAATTGCACATGATATGTAAATTATTACTTGAATCTTGACTCTCTTTACTTTTCTTGAATTTTATTTAACTTCGTACATTTTTTCTCAAGTTTGATTTTCTTGAAATATTTTGGCTCATCTAGAGGCATACAGCTTTAAACTACACTTTATTCCTTTTATAGATAGATATGCAAACAATTTTATTAATTTCATTAGAAATGCTTAGTCTTTATTGATCATTTAAGTAAGTTCTGGAAATTATTGTTTGTTGTATTTATTGTTCAGATAATTCTATTGTTGATTTATGGATTTATATGTTTTGATGATGATATTTGTTATGATGCTTACAAAACTTGCTTGTATACCCTAAGGCTAAGGTTATAGGAGGTAAGGGTAAAAGAAAAATTGGTCATTTTGTTGGATTAGAATCTTTTTTTCCATGTGACCTTTTATTCACTGTTTGGTCAAGGTCGTTTATAGGGTTTTTCACTGGGATTGTATTGATCAGCCAGTTTTTTTTTAAATACTAGTTAACCGGCTGAGTTTTTGCAACGGATTTTCACAAAAGTTCATTCAAAGTTTAAAGGATTTCAGTATCAAAAATACAAAAATTGAGTTATCGGAACAGAGCCTGACCACACTGCTGTTCAGACTAGCCTAACTACATGGTGGAAGCAAAAATAATAAGTGGCTTTTCCAGTAAGTAAATGATTAAATTGCCAGTCACAATTCAGTGTCATTACCAAAGGCTAGGGTAAGAATACGAAACGTTCACTTACTACTCGTTTTATCTAACCTATTTTATACCTTATGGGAGGCAATCATTAGTTACTGTATCAGTAGACATTTATAATTCCGATACCCATGGTATATCAGTGATAACCTGTTCTTAATTGTTAGACTTTGTTGCACCTGTATTTATTTGCACATTTAGGCATTGTTGGCATTTCTATAATTGTTGTTATAATTGTTACATTCCTTTAAAATGTGGTTCAATAGTTGTTGGTTTTATAACACAGTACATATGCACATGCTGAATATGAAAATATAAAAGATGTTAAGAATTAAAAAGAAAACCTTTGTTATAATTTTTAGCTTATCATTTCATATAAATTTGCTTTTCAATATGTGAGGGGAATATAGAACATAGTGTCAATTTTATTAGTACTGTAGACTGACAGGCAGAGATACAGATATTTTACACTCTTAGCTGTTCTTGTGTGAAGGTCAAAACTACATATTTAGTTAACTTATAATGATCGATATGTTTTAGAAATTGGTAATTTTTACGATGTAATTGGAGCAAGTAAAACTGTCGCCAGTTTTTTCTGCGAGATTTCACGAACTATTTTGTGTTGCCCAATAATATAGTAGTGAAATCTGACATTCCCTACGACAATTATCGATTAACGTGTCATATGTTTAACTTAAGTCTTCGACTTCAGACTGTAGCAAGGATTGGCCTTTATTCTTATGGAGAACTCCGGCTAGGATCACCTGCTCTGGGGAAGAGTGGGATGTTAGCAAACTACCAAACGATTTAACTTGGTGTGTCCTTTATTTGAAAACTTGCCTCAAAGTATTTTACTAAATGCGATGTATGTTTACGCCCCCGCCATATAATGGCAGGGGCATATTGTGTTACCCTGTTCCGCCATTCCGCCTTCCGTCATTCTGTCATTCCGTCACCATCAGTTTCCGTTCATTATCTTAGTAACTGTTGCACACATTCGACTCAAATTTGACATGGATATATCCGTTTATTATCCCCCCAACCGTATTACAAATTCAACACAAATTCACATATGGATACGTCAAAGGAATGTGCAGGCCAAGTTTGAATTTATTTATGGTTCAATGATTTTTGGCAGAGTTATGCCCCGTTCACATTTAAAATAATATGAAATTTTCCGTTTCCGTTTATTATCTCCCCAACGGTATTACACATTCAACTCAAATTTGACATATGGATACCTCAAAGGGATGCGCAGGTCAAGTTCGAATTTATTCATGGTTCGATGATTTTTGGCAGAGTTATGCCCCTTTCACTTTGAAAATAATTTGAAATTTTCAGTTTCCGTTCATTTTCGCACCAACGGTATTACACATTCAACTCATATTTCACACATGGATACGTCAAAGGAATGTGCACGGCAAGTTTGAATTTATTCATGGTTCAAAGATTTTTGGCAGAGTTATGCCCCTTTCACTTTGAAAAAAAAAGGAAATTCTCAGTTTCCGTTATCTCCCCCACAGTTGTATATATTCAACTCAAATTTTGTAACATGGTTACAACATAAGAATACACTGGTCAAGTTCGAATTTGGTCATTGTTTGATGATAGCTGACAGAGGTATCCCTCTTGAACTTTGAAAAAATCAGAAAATTTTAGGTTCCGTTCATTATCTCCCCAAGGGTTGTACACTTTCAACTCAAATTTGACATATACATACGTCTTAGGAATAAGCAGATCAAGTACGAATTTGGTCGTGGTTCAATGATTTTGGACAAAGTTATCTCTCTTGAATGTTGGAAAAAGTTTGAATTTTTAGTTTCAGCACTCATACTTTTGTTAAAATGTATGTAGTCATTATTTTGGCTACAAATATGCAATTTACAAAATGTTAACGCTTAATAGTTTCAGTACCTTGAACTTTTTTTTATAAAAATGGTTTGTGTTTACATTGAATGGTTTTAAGGGCTTTGGTTTTAAAGTTAAAAAATAGTTTGTGCAAACAAATTTGGAACTAAATATTGTAACATCTGAAATTTTGGCTGCATGCGGGGGCATCCGTGGCCTGACGACTTATTTCTAGTTTTCTGTTATTTAAACATTAAATGTGGTCATTTAGTGTTGTTATAATTTTTTGGTCCTTCGGGATCATTGATTCCAGCACTTTAAAGCCGGTGCTAGGGGGCGTGAGGGATGATGCACTTTTTCATTATCCCTTATGTATAGATTCTGTCAAACCGCGTGGGCAATTTTCATGTGATTTTGTTGTGAATAATACTGCCTAGAGATATTTGTTTCCTTTTTTTGCATTTTGTAACAGGAGAAAACATAATAGATAATATAAGGTCGATACTAATCATCGGATGACACATTAAGAGTAAATTACGGGAAAAAAAACATAACAAAACAAACTACATTTGTAACAAAAGTATATGTATGTTTATTAAATAGAATTCATTTACTCATCAAGAAATAAGTAACACTCAGTCATAACATCAATTAACAAAGAAATTTTTTTAGTTATGCAATACATTGATTCAAACAATTTAAAAATGCAGTATGTCCTTGACTAAACAGGTTGCCGATACATTGCAATTGACATCTTCTTACTTTGTCAAATCCCCCGTCATTACATTCACAAGGTCTGGAATTATTTCCCGCACCTTTACCACATACACTGGCTGTGTAGTAAGGCACCACATGTTTTCCGTTAGCTTTGGCTTTGCACTCAGCTTGATGGGCGCATACCCATTCTTTGACCTTCTGATCACATTTACTGGAACAGCCATGAAGTCGTCTGCATCCAACAGTTAGCCAGTTATGATGTTCGGCGATGGTTCCAAAATCGTGCAAGACATTATTGTGATTGTCGGCTGCTACAGCTTTGCAGAAACATCTGAAAGTGAAGTAACGATTATTGTTAAACTAACGTTGCATTTTGAGAAACTAAAAATAATTATATGCGATTTTGCAAGTAACATGTACTATTGTTGTTGATGTTGTTGTGTGTGAGCGGCTATATGAACAAATTCGTCCATGTAATGTTGCTGTTTTTATTTTTTTCATTTTAATTGTTTTGTTAATAAGAAAAATCGGATTTCATCCACATTGACTTTTAGCTACAAATATGATTTGTTGATTGCGTTCTCACAATTATTAAAATTCAACTTTTGTAAACGAAAGAGTTTAATGTCGAAATATATGGAAAATCTTTGGTAACCTAACTATTGACACATGGTCGAAATTTATTCTATATTAATATTCTTCTGAATCTTGACAAGGGAAAGGATAATTTTGAAGTTAAAAATGGATGCATATTAATTGTGTTCATTAGAATAAACGGAAAGTAAAACAAAAACATACCGTTTTCTGTCTGCAGCAGAAAAACGAAGAACAACGAGGAAAATGGCAAACAGAAATACCTTTCTCATCATCATTTTTAATTGTTTTATTAATATGAGTTGAGCTGTAAGTTGTCTGAATTAAATTGCCGTAGTCCGTCGAAGGTTTATATACGTTTCAACCTCACGGAAACGGGCGAGGAAATACGTCATATGCGTAACATTACGTAAATACGTTTACTCCGGGATGATTAATTTGAGTTTATTCATCAATAAATTTTGGAACAAAGGTCAACCGCAATTACTTAATAAATAGACTAGATAAACAAAAACATTCATCAAAACTTTACTACGAGCTTTACTCGTGTGGAAAAAACATCACATTTTCATAAAGCAATTAACATTTTTATGAGATTGACTTACGTAAAAAATGGGCTGTATTGTAAACAAAAAATTAACGAATCAGTGTGCTTATAACAGGCAGGTGTGTTCATTAAATGTACAATACTGTTTTAATGACATCTTGCACATTTATGTGTGTGCTACTTTGACAATAAAAAAAGATGTTTATGGAAGGTTTTTTTAGTAATTTATATCGCTCGACATATTGTCTTTGCGTAAAAGGTTATTTAATTGTAAATCAAGATTTTATATGATTAAAGAAGTTTAAACGTTGTTCTTTGATATTTTTATTATCTTGTTTAGAACTAGACATCTTTGCATGTTATATTACAAAAAGCAAAATACAAAAAGCAAAGAACGAAATACAAAAGCAACAATAAATATAATTATATGTTAAATGTATATCTACTTATAACGATATTGAAGTATTTTGTAACGCTGCATTGCCGCATAAAAATGGTCAATTTCGTTTATGCAGGATGACCACGCTTAGGCGGCATAGCTCAGAAAACAAAACATTTCTGTATTTGGCGCAACTTTGGCTTTAGGTTGCATTAAAAGGATTAATTTCAACCATTTCCAATCAAGCTTAAACTTATAGTTGTGACATTTCAACAAAATCGATGTAAATGATTTTGATGATAACGAGGAGTGGCGGGAGGGGGCACTGTAAGGCGACAATAAAGACGACGGAGGCGTTGGTGATGGTTGCTATTGTGACTTGGCAGCTTTTTTTGCCCAAACCAAAATATAGCGATTTCCTCTTTTCGGAACGTATATTCCGGTATCTTTTGCACACGAGTCCAGTTTAGAATCTTAGTCAAGTGGACGCCAAAATCAAGATCTTTCAGTTGTATCGAAACAATAAATCACTATCGTACGGGTTTGAGTTGATTTTGTTTATGCAGTCCAAGGTGTGCCTTTTTGCAACATTAACGGGTCCTGTTCATCCTATATATAATCACCTAATCAAAGAAATCGACCGTGTTTATTCGACAGCGCTGTTATACGGTATTACAATTCTTAATGATCAACATTATTTTTTGTCCAATCACATGGCAGCATTTTTCAAATTTCTACTTAGTTTAACTTTGGTTAATGTGTACTAACTTAATAAAATTTACTTGATCATATGTCTAACCAGTCTAATTAATTTCAATAATGCATTATATTAGGGAGGAGTTAAAGGTGTGGTTTACACTCTGAATTGGTACGGCATAAGCGAGAATAATAAACTACCATAAAAAAATAAAAAAGGTGATCTGTTTTTCAACGGAGCAAATCAATAGGGATTTTTAGATGTTAGTGAATACCTTGCATCAAATAATGAATTTGTATAAATAAAAAAGCTCAAATGTATTTTTCTCACATTTTTTATTTATTCGAAAAGAATGTACACATTTCATTGACTCCATTGTATTTAGCTAATTGCATCCTTTTCCCCGTTTTTTTTTATTCACACATTTTATAAAAACATGATATTCTTACTATAGACAAAGGAACCTTAATAAGAAATTTCAGGAAAAAAATGTGCCAGATTATATGTTGAAAGGGCCATTGATTTAGCTTATCTAAATGTAACATGTAAGAAACTTGACTAGGTGTAGACATCTTGTAGAGTAAACATGTGTTCGTGTTATATCACTATTTTGTGAAGACTACAAAAGGGCGGGTCTATCGGTGACAATGTTCACGCAGTTTAGAAAATTTAGCTAATTGCATCATTTTCCCCGCGTTTTTTTATTCACACATTTTAAATGAAACACGATATTCTTACTATAGACAAAGGAATCTTAATAAGAAATTTCAGAAATGTTTGTTTATGCCTGATTATATGTTGAAATGGCCATTTATTTAGCTTATGTAAATGTGACATGTAAGAAACTAGGTGTAAACATCTTGTATACACGAGTTTGTGTTATATCACTATTTTGTGAAGACTACGAAAGGGCGGGGCTACCAGCGACAATGTTCACGCAGTTTAGAGAAATGCCTTGTTTTTGGTTGAAAAATAATGTTGAACATTAAATAGGTTGATGTTTAATAATACGCATTTACAAAAATAATTGGCCCCGTGCCTGCGGCACGGTTGACCAATTATTTTTGTTAATAAGTATTATTAAACACTTACCTATACTTGTCATTTTAATACTACATTGTATTTTGAACTGAATGAATTAATTCATAACAATCGTTATGTGTTTTCGATATGGACGAACCTTACTTTCTGTTGAGTATAAATAATCACTGACTATTGTTTTAGCAACAATAACCACAAAATTATCTATGTCTATTCATAATCTTTATTGTTTTACTTCAAGAAACACTTTTCTTTTTAAAACATGTAACAAATAAATTTCTTAGGCTTTAAAATTTGTATGTCAAATGTGATACTTATTACACGTTGGAAAAAGAGAATTGACCTTGATTACAAAGTATTTACTTATGGTATGCTTTTATTTATATTGCTTATTTAACTTTACCAGAAAAATTTTAAGTGTTTTTTTTATTGAATTTTGAAAAAAAAAATCTTACACATTAATTAATCCTTAAAAAAGAATGTAATGTACATAGATCAAATTCCTGTATCTATTCACAAAAACGCTCCTAGCTTGACATCTACTATGTTAAATTGTTCAATTTTGCCCTTCTCTATTCAAGCCTTTTGTACCTAAAGAAAGAAAAAAAATCAAGATTTGAGCCGCGTCACGACAAAACCAACATAATGGGTTTGCGACCAGCATGGATCCAGACCAGCCTGCGCATCCGCGCAGTCTGATCAGGATCCATGTGTTCGCTATCAGCTTATTTCTTACGAAAATTTTAAGTGTTTTGATTTGAAAAAGAATCAACATTAATTGGAATCCTTGATTCAAGACTTGCGCGTACATCCAAACGCTCTGGTCTGACATCCATGTTAGTTCGCAAATCCCATTTATTGGCTTTTGTCGTAGAAAGAAACTCAATTTTTGTTTTTATTCTGACACTGCCTGACAAACGGATTACAGCTTCGCATAGATGATGACAAAATTGTATTAGATGACGATGATTCTGGTAGGATAAAAGGGTACTAATTTATAAAAATCTGATAATTAATACGTTTGTATCTACTTAATAACGGTCCCCTTATGAAAAAGAGGACACATTTAATTTAAGCAATCTGATAATAATCCTTAGTCATATAAGAAGAATTAAAGCTACATGTATCCAGATGAGACAAAATATATAAAGAAAATCTAATTTTAGAAAAAATGTATTAAGTTTTTAAGAAAAGTACAAAGATTCAAGATTAAAGTAAAAATGCACATGTTATCTACGCTTAATGGCTGATTTTGAAGAATTTATCACCATATTTCTACAGCGTGACTAAAGCAGTAAGGTCTATTGTTGCATGTTTTGACCTTTTTTGGTAAGGTAATGTTTGTGGATAGTAGGTGCTGTTTGTAATGTATAAATCAATTTCTTTGTTGTTTTGACAAACGTTTACTTTTAAATGCCTTTTTTCTTATTTGTTTTATAAAAATTAGCATGAATCTGAAGGCATGTTGCTTTAATTAGATAACAAAGTTTTCCTGTTATTCCACATGAAGGCGATTATTCAAATAGGGTAACAAACTGCAAAAAATATAAGTTACCGTAATTGCTTCTTAAGGATTTTATCAAGCAATGGGGTTTTTTCAATTGCATAGACTAAAATAGCTTTAGAAAGTTGTAGCATTGTGTATAAATGCCATTTCCTTGCTCGAGAGAGTAAACATACTGACAAATGTGTGTCTGATTGAATGACCTGCCTAAAACATACCCAATGGGCAAAGCACTCTTGGAAATGCATGCGAACGATTGGAACTTTTCAAAGATGAATTTTATTATTTTCCAATGTGGATAACTTTGTACAATAATTATATTATATTCAATTAAAAACTTTTTTTCTAATTCTAGCCACTCACAGTAGAAAGTTGGATATACAATACAAGCTATTGCTATATACCTAAAACACATAAAATGGTGTTGCTCCAAATTGCCTTGCTTTCTGTTAACATACATATATTAATAAAAGTTGTGCCTGAAGTATGATTTTTTTAGTTTGGTTGCACCTTATTATCTGAACAAGCTCCCTGTCGAAAAAAGTGCTATATCTTTAATCATTAAAAAACCCTTTAAAGACTTCACTAGAATAAATGTCATCATATGCTTGGTTGAATAAATACTAACAAAACTTTTCAGCAACGTCTTTAAAATATTTTTTTCCTATTTTGTCTTCATATCATTTGATAAGTATAACAGTTTTATTTATCTTTGATACTTTGTCTTATTTTGATAAATTATTTTAGGTAACTTTGTGTTAATACTGTTTAATTCGAATGTTCTGTTTTAACTACTAGATTTTTTAAGTGTTGTTATATTTTTTAAGGTTCTCATAATGATGGATTCCAACCAGTAGTGTTGAAGATATGGAATATCACTTAAGCCGATGTTTGGAGGCGTAGAAGTTGAGGCACTCTTATATCATCTCTCATGAAATAACTCTGCAATGTTCATTTAAGATCGTCGTTTTCATTCCTGCTTCCAATTCCAGATTTCATACAACACAACAGTAGGTGCCAAGTTCAGTGTGGCAGCTGAAACATAGTTACTCTGTACTTCACTTTAATGTTGTTATATTTTTCTTTCGGGAACATTATTTCCAGAATATAATTGTTGAAGATTGAAAACTCCTTTAGCCG